ATGATTAAGTGTGTTACATTTGGGAATTCGACGCGTTGCTTCTAATTATAATAATACATATAATATAATAATATACTATAATAATATAACATATAGTATATGTAATATAATAATATAATAATAACTGCTTTTTCTTGTTCTATCTCTCTCGGTCACTCTTACGACTGCTCTATAATAATATAATATATAGTATAATATAATAAGATGATAATATAATAATAAATGCTTTTTCTTGCTCCATCTCTCTCGTTCACTCTGACGACTGCTCTATAATAATATAATATATAGTATAATATAATAATAAATGCTTTTTCTTCCTCTATCTCTCTCGTTCACTCCGACGACTGCTCTATAATAATATAATATATAGTATAATATAATAAAATAATATAATAATATTATAGTATAATATAATAATATAATAATATAATATAATAATATTATTATATAATATATATAATAAATGCTTTTTCTTGCTCCATCACTCTCATTCATTCTCGCGACTGCTCTTTTACGACGGCTCTCTCACAATTGCGCTCTTACGACTGCTCTCTCGCAACCGCTCTCTTACGACTGCTCTCTTTCACCCGGATACGCATCATGATACACACAATCGAGTTATACACACCGTAAACTATCTAACGACACACTAAACGAAGGACTCTCGCTCGTCAAATTCATTCTCGCTCGCGCGCACACTTAAAACCGACGCTCTTTAAGAAGCTCGTTAAACGACGCCGCAGACGAACGTCGAACCGGACCGTGTTTCATCTCCTGTTCGCGTACAATCGCCGGCAGAAAATCTTCGCGGAAAGGAAATAGGAATCGATTTCCCGGGCGAGACGCTCGATCCGCGAAAGCGGGAGAGCCCCTCTTCCTGTACACGACCAGAAGAAGATCCTCCAGCCTACTCGCGAGCATCCATTTTAATCGAGCGAATAACAGTACCGAGCACCGATTCTCGGCGCGGATTTTCTCGAACGACGCGGCGCGCGGAAAAAAGCTGCGGCGAACTTTTCCGGCGATCTCGTTTCCCAGATCGGCGGCGGCGACGGCTCTTATTATTACGAGACGCGAAATGGTAATCAATTAACTAGTTTCCCAAGCGTTTAACATGCCGATTAGAATTCGCAATCTGCACGCTCCAATTCGCGACGAGCACCGCCGCTGAAGCGTAGGATTCGCCGAGACACACATGCCGCGCGCGCGTGTCTATACGCGTTGCGAATGTACGCATGCGTGCGTGCATGTATGAATGCATGTACGAATGCATGTATGTATGTATGTATGTATAGAGTATGGAGAGACCGGACATTTTTCTTCTGGCGTTGCCCCGTGGCGAGGAACGCCCTGGGCTGGAATTCGCGTCTGTAACTCGGCTCGCCGTGTTTCCCCGCGGTTTCCTCATTATTGCTCGGTTCGAACGAGCGTTCGCAGCCTGGCCGGCTTTTTTTCGCCCCGTTTCGAATCGCGGCTCGGTAATTATTTAAATGATATCCGGCAGCGTTTGTTTTGTTGCCGCCAATCGGGAGCGAGCGATTGGCCTTTCGCGTTTACTCGCGCGAGGCTGCTGCTGCTGCTGCTGCTGCTGTTGCGCTGCTGCTTCCTCATTCTTCCTCGCTCAGACCGGCTGCGAAACGTTCGCCAACCTATTCCCGAAGTTATCGTCCTCTTTCGAACTTCGTTCGATCGACTTCGATAGCGCGACAAATGTCTTTCTTTTTTCGCTCGTATTTTTTTTTATAAACTCTTTGCTCGATTAACCCCTCAACCCTTTGCTCTCGAAGCCATTTTAACGCGAAATCTAAATTGATTTTGTTGACTTATGGTATCTCCGTTTTACGCGACAAAGTGCATTTTATACGTATGAAATTTAGTCTTATGACTCGTACGACGGTTAGACTTTTAACAATTTTTTTATGTCTGAACTTTGATAATGTAAAAATTATCTTGGAACGCGATGTAACAATTTTAGTGGCGACTCTGAGGCATCACTCGAGTGCAAAGGGTTAACTTGTACGCTCGAGTTAATTCGAGCGGCTTTGTATTTTATGCTGCTATAATTTTTCACGTTCGAATATAATCGAGAATTGAAAATAACAATATGAACGCGAAGAAAGAAATCGTTTTATCGATATTTATCGTTTATCATTTATAAAATCCAAAATTAAAATAAAAGCTTTGATTATTTTTGTATTGTTTCAATTTCTTTGCCAAGACAATGTTCTAAATTATGTCTTCTTACATTAAAAAGAAAAAATTGGGGAGAATGGGGGAAAAATGGGGAGATCTTAAATTCAGTCGATCGATGACCGAATGGATGATTACTGAAAAATTAAAAATGATCGCTTAATTTGATTAAGATCTGCGAAAAGTACCGATGAAGTAAGCGATGCCATATAAGTTTGTTTCGTAACTTTTGTTTAATCGAATGAAATATTTCAATTTTTATGTAAACTTTTGAGATTCCTAGCGCGGTCGTGGAAGTGTTAACATACTGTTTAGTGGACGATTCGTAATAGCGACTCCGTTAGAAGAAAAAAAAGTGCTCGACCGATGCCGCGGTCGGTCGCAAACGCTAAGAAAGACATTAACAAATGAAAGCCAGGGCCGGCGCCGCGCAAACACTTGTCCCGACAAGGCGGGCCTCGATAGATCATCGAAGAGGTGGCGATCGAACACGGCGCAAATATTTGTTCACGTCGGATCCCGTTCATTCAACGATTGTTTAGACAAGCTTCCATTCATTTTCGTCGGAATACCATTAAACCCTGCTATGTATTTCTTTCTCTCCGCGGTCCCGCTGCATACAGTCAATCAACTTCGGTTTTAACGCGACCGTAAACGTTTGCTGAGAACTTTCGTTCGGAGACCAGCGTTTCGCGCAACCGCCGCGATGATTAATTGCTCGCTCGTCGAACGCGCGAAACACGGAGCTAGAGAGAGGAACGGAGAGAGAAAAAGAGAGACCCGTGTAAACGATCGAAGCCGGAGATCTTCGGATCTTGATCGCGGAAAAGCACCGGCGATTGTTCGACGGCGGATCCATCGAGACTAATCGAAGAACAACGCGCCGCGCCGCGCCGCGCCGAGAAATCCCGCGAGCGAGCCGGCTGAGTAATTACGAGGAAGTAGCCGCTGACACCGCAATTAAATTCTCGCGATTCAAGGGAAAGTGTGCGGACCTCGAGGCGTTCAAAATTTCGCGCTTTCACCCGCGGGCAGCGGGACGAATCGGGTCACGGGCCGGGAAAAATTGATCCGGGCTCGCGGCGCTCCGCGGAAGTCGAATGCTCGCTTTGCGTTCCGCAATTAAACCGTCTCCATTGTGCATTTCGCCGGCTCGCGTTACAAACGCTGTTACAAACTGTTGATTATTCGCTTGCGAATAATTCAAGGCAGAGTTTTAGGTAAAAGCATATTTATTGAACACACGGAAACACAAGATCTAATATACAGGCTTGCTCGTAAGAGCTTAGAGACAACCAGTGTACTCGTAAGCTGCTCACAGACGACTGACTAAAATACCGCGGAAGACACGCAAACTGTGGGTCGGAAAATCCTTAGTGGTCATAAATAACCAATCCGCTCTCACGCCGCGTGTAACGGACTTTCGAGTCAAAATTTGCTCGACTCGAGTCGACGCGCGTTCAGCGCTCACGTGCCCTGCAGATGGGCCGCAAGGGTCGTCTTACCTGAAAAAACGGACAAGGCCGTGAAACATACAAAGTACCCATTTTCAATAGCATCGAAAATGCCAGACATTTACACAATCGCTGTTTCGAAGAGGGCGACTTCGCGATTTCGCGATTTTTTACGGCAAATATCGGGGAGCAAGCGTCGCTCGATCTCTTCTTCGTCCACGGACCCGGCGATTCGATCATAGGATCGAGAACGCGTTAAATGTTAATTGATCCACGAAAGAGCGACGTTTCTGCGAACGTTGCGCGGCAAAGGATCGAAACCGTTCGCATTCTAATTTAGACATTTTTTGGGCATACTCGCTTTGCGGCACGCGTTTCTCCAAAAATGTCGATTTAATTAGCTGCTTCTCGTAATTCGTGTCCGAAATGCGCGTCGCTGTTCCAATTCGATACTGAGATATTTTAAGAAAAGAATACGTGATTTGGATATTGAGAGAGATATATCTTTAAATGTATTAATCGATGTGCACATTGGTACAAAATTTAGTGGAGATGATTATTATTGAAAGCCAAATTATTACGTTATTTTTGAAAGCCAAATTGTTATCGGGTAATAAACTTTACAAAACTTTAAACGCTTTTTTTCTTTAAAAAAAAAAAAACTTCATTATTTATATATATTTCAGTATTGAATTAGAAGTGTTAGATGTTAGTGTTAAATGTAGTACGTAGTATTATTAAATATATTTATATATACAGGGTGTCCCAAAAATGTCTCGCAATCCGAAAGTGGCGGATTCTTCAGGTCATTCGAAGCAACTTTTTCCTTTACAAAAATTTTCGCCGAGGCACCGTTAACGAGTTATTAACGAGAAACAGTGACCAATGAGAGGCGAGCTCGGCTGGCGCGAGGCGATCGAGCCAATGAGCGGAACTGGACTTCGTGCGCTGGTTGGCTGGGCCGCCTCGCGTCAGCCGTACTCGATTCTTATTGGTCACTGTTTTTCGTTAATAACTCGTTAACGGTGCCTCGGAGAACATTTTTGTAAAGGAAGAAGCTGCTTCAAATGATCCGACCAACCCGCCATTTCCGGATTGCGAGACATTTTCTATATATAAAATAACTATAAATAACTATATATATTATATAACATATATAACTATATATAAAATAACTATAAATAACTATCGATTTTTTATATTGTTACGTATGCTGTTTCTTTTTTTCCTTTTTTTTTTAACGAAGAGGTAAGTATTCGTTCACGCCGAAACGACGATTAGCGTATTTTAATGAACGAAAATGACATTTTTGAACGGACGATTTATCTCACGCGGATACTTTGATCCTGTTTTCAGACGATAAGCTTGACCAAACGTATAGACGAGGTCAGGTTGCTCGAGTCACGTAAGAGTGCCCGGCTGGCCGATCAGGATACAGATTTCGCTAGGCTCGCCGACATGGCTGGCGATCGCAAACGAGCCTCCTCCCACTCCATCGACGTTCCACACGTGATTGGGTAAGTGTTCAAGCTCTTAATTAGACCTCGCGGTTTTCCCTCGGTTTTACACTCGAGGTTTTGCCATCGAATCGCACTCGCTGTAGAAAAATGAAATTTCAATTCTGTTCTACCGTTTGCGACTCGTGTCAAACCTGGTACGTTCCTCGGGAAATTCACTTCTCCTCTGATGTATAAACAAAATAATTTGTTTATACAGGGTGTCCCAGGTTTTACTGTTCAAACTGTGTCAGTGTATTCTATGGCACAAAGTAATAAAAAAATGTTAAGTAAACATAGGTCATACAGAGCTTTATTAAGAAGTTATAACAAAAATTCAGAATAGCAATAGTAATTGCATTAAAATAGTGAAGCATTGGCTTGAATAGATCAGCACATGCCGTGTGTTCATGTAAGCTGTGCTTATTAATTCATTTCGAAATGTATCAATAACCGTTCTTGACAATACATGATTGACATCGATCGAAGATTTTGTTTTATTTTTTATTCTTTTTTTTAGCTGATTACTATTCCTATTCTGTGAATTTTTGTTATAACTTCTATGTTAGTAAATAGTATTATTAGTAATATCTAATTATTAGTAAATAGTGTATTAGAGTAAATAATATTATTAGATAGAAAAAGAGATACTACTGCATTAAATAGATTAATATTATTAGATAGTAAATAATATTATTAAATAATATTATTAGACTTCTAACTATATGACCTATATGTTGACATAACATTGTTTTCTTACTTCGTGCCATAGAATATACCGACAAAGTTTGAACATTAAAATCTGAGACACCCTGTATAAATTGAATAAGATCGGTCGGTGAAATCATCGTCCGAAATCGTTGTTGGTTTAAAATGCGATTTTCTGTTTCCGAGGAACAAACGAGGGTTGAAATCGCGTTCGCCGGAAAAGTACATTTCTGTCGGAAAGTTCGAGAGCATTTTCTAATTTCAACGATATTCAAATTACGAGCGAGGAGTCACGTTCCCCATCGGCCCCGAAACTCCATAGAGGAACTAACCGAGGCAAACGCCGCCATCGGAATGTCACGGCGCGGAAGAACCCGTCCCGAACGTCCTCCCACATCCTGCCTGCAGTTATCCTTCCCACAAGCGAATAAAAACCCGGAACTAATTACGACGGGTCGCGTGAGCGCGTAGTTCCAGATCTCCTCCAGGTAATCTATCGCAACGATCATTTTTCGAAAAAAAAAGGAAACAGAATAACAAAACGATCGAACCTTCCTCGAACGACGTGCGCGTATAAACGCGCGCGCGCGCGCGCAATAACACAGCGCTTCCCGAAAACCGAGCGGCCACGCGACTCTGTGCAAATTACCGTGGCGTTTAACGGTTCGGGGAACTCCACGGAATTCCCAGGAAGAAGCGGCGAGAAACCAGACCCGCGATCTTTATCTCTCTCCGCTTCGAAAATCCGCTTCGAAATCTCCTCGGAGTGAAAGGACCCCCCTAAAAACGTTCTTGTGAAAATGATACAGGGCAAGTGTTGGTATTACTGCGGACGCCCCGAATACTGCGGTATTTTATAAAAGCAATGAAATCTAATATTTTACAGCGTGTAATCTTGTAAAGATTAATTATTCTTGATGCAATATTTTGAGAAAAGAAAATATTTAAGTTAAAGGATAATAGGTATAATTCGAGGTGTCAATTTATTGGCGCGGAAGGTTTTATTTTCTCTGTTATAAAGATGAATGATTTTTGATTCAATATTTTGGGAAAAGTAAATATTCAAGTTAAAGAGAATAATAAGTATAGTTCGAGTTGGCAATTTATTGGCGCGAAAGTTTTTATGTTCTCTGCTCTAAAAATGAATGATTTTTTATTCAATATTCAAATATATAATATAATATAATATTATTAATTATATATTAATTATATTATATTATATATATTATATAATATTATTATATTATATATTATATAATATTATTATATTATATATATAATATAATATATATTATAATATAATATTCAAATAAATATTCAAGTTAAAGAATAATAAGTATAGTTCGAGTTGTCAATTTATTGGCTTGAAAGGTTTAATTTTCTCTGCTCTAGAAATGAATGACTTCTGATTCAATATTTTGAGAAAAGAAAATATTCAAATTAAAGAATAATAAGTATAGTTCGAGTTGTGAATTTATTGGCACGAAAGGTTTTATTTTGTTTATCAAAGTTCGCTTTCGTCGAGAAATCGCAGTAATACCTACGCTTATCCTGCGCCTCCTGCGCTTCTGGAGCCAGTCGCCCGTCCGACAAATATTCTTCCCGGCGGACCCTTGCACAGATTCACCGGCGACGCGTGCGTGCGACTGCGTTCCTGCTCGAATGCACGTGCACCGCACGTCTCTCTACCGTCCGTGCAACACGTACGCGAACGAATTATTTATTTTCCTATTAATGGTTAATTTACGCAAGGACGTTCGCCCTAAAGCGGCCTCGAAAACCGTTTCACCCGCAAATTTTATCCCGCGAACTCGGAGACAATTGAATACATAATTAAATTGCTGGAGGCACAGCAACGATAAATGTTATTTATTTATAATCTGCAAAAATGTCGGTGGCTGCTGAAGATTCGTTGCTCTATTCGTCTGTTCAATTCTTCCTCCAGCGATTATAAAATAATTTGACAAGAATAGAGAAAAAGTTATGCACATAAATAACGGTAGAAATAATTGTAACAAACAGCTGCAGCTAGATCGCCGATCGATCTGCGAAATGAATTTCTTGCCGCGTCAATTTCGACGCGATCAGAGGTCACGTTCTAACATCTTCCTTTCCCCGACAACTTCAATGAACGTAAAAATAGCAAATCTATATTCTCGCGTCCCCTTAATCCGTTCACTGTTTCGAGTTCCATTCGCTCGCGATCGTCGAAACGGCCCGAAAATCCGCGGGTTCGCTCGCGAAATGCGTCGAGCTCACGAAAATTGCATAAAGCCGATGGGAAATTACGCGATGCCCACGAAAATTGCATAAAGCGCGGTTAAATTGCGCGGAGCGCACGAAAATCGCGTAAACGTCGGATCGTGCCGATCGAATACTTTTGGCGCGGGGTGTACAGAGGGGCCCCGTGCACTCGCACGTTCCAGGGATCCGAAAAGATCGACGAGGTACGCAGAAAAAGGCTGCGCCCACACGTTGCACCGGGGGAGCGCTAAAAGGCGTCTGGTTGCCGGTCCGATCGTTAGACCGTGAATGCACCCTCGCCGGACACCTGTCCCTCGCCCTTCCACTGCGCCCCCCCCCCCTCGAAATCCTTTTCTCTCGCCCCCGTTAAACGGTCCACCCGGAATCCGATCCAACGGTCGCGATCGGCTCTGTCCCTGGGACCTCTGTCTTCCGTCTAGCCAAAAAATGGCTGACTCAACGTCTCGGACGTCGGGATTCGTCCTCTTCGCAGACCGCGACTTGTCCCCTTGCTAGGCTTTTCCTCGCGCTCACCTTTCCCCACCTGCGACCACGGATCCGTATCTTTTCTTGCTTCCGAGTGGGCTCGACTGTAGTGGCCACAATGATCGCTCGATGGCACCGGATTGTTATACAGGATGTCCCGAAAATGTCTCGTAATCTGGAAATGGGAGGTTCCTGGGGTCATTCGAAGCAACTTTTTCCTTTGCGAAAATTTTCTCCGAGGCTTCGTTTACGAGTTATCAACGAAAAACAGTGACCAAATGATCTCGCCTCTGATTGGTCACTGTTTTTCGTTAGATGTGTATAAGAGACAGCGGCCGTCTCGCGCCAAATGATCTCGCCTCTGATTGGTCACTGTTTTTCGTTAGATGTGTATAAGAGACAGCGGCCGTCTCGCGCCAAATGATCTCGCCTCTGATTGGTCACTGTTTTTCGTTAGATGTGTATAAGAGACAGCGGCCGTCTCGCGCCAAATGATCTCGCCTCTGATTGGTCACTGTTTTTCGTTAGATGTGTATAAGAGACAGCGGCCGTCTCGCGCCAAATGATCTCGCCTCTGATTGGTCACTGTTTTTCGTTAGATGTGTATAAGAGACAGCGGCCGTCTCGCGCCAAATGATCTCGCCTCTGATTGGTCACTGTTTTTCGTTAGATGTGTATAAGAGACAGCGGCCGTCTCGCGCCAAATGATCTCGCCTCTGATTGGTCACTGTTTTTCGTTAGATGTGTATAAGAGACAGCGGCCGTCTCGCGCCAAATGATCTCGCCTCTGATTGGTCACTGTTTTTCGTTAGATGTGTATAAGAGACAGCGGCCGTCTCGCGCCAAATGATCTCGCCTCTGATTGGTCACTGTTTTTCGTTAGATGTGTATAAGAGACAGCGGCCGTCTCGCGCCAAATGATCTCGCCTCTGATTGGTCACTGTTTTTCGTTAGATGTGTATAAGAGACAGCGGCCGTCTCGCGCCAAATGATCTCGCCTCTGATTGGTCACTGTTTTTCGTTAGATGTGTATAAGAGACAGCGGCCGTCTCGCGCCAAATGATCTCGCCTCTGATTGGTCACTGTTTTTCGTTAGATGTGTATAAGAGACAGCGGCCGTCTCGCGCCAAATGATCTCGCCTCTGATTGGTCACTGTTTTTCGTTGATAACTCGTAAACGAAGCCTCGGATTGCGTTTTCGCTAAGGAAAAAGTTGCTTCGAATGACCTCAGGAATCCCCTACTTTCGGATTGCGAGACATTTTTGGGACACCCTGTAGAGTGCTATAAAATGGGCCTTCGAGGACGACGCGTTCGGATTTTCATCGAATTTGTGGAGCAGTCGTTGATTCTTGCGACGATCGGTAGATTAATAAAACAGTTTTTAACTCTTTGACGTTCCATTTTCTTCGCAGTTACTGCGATTAGAAATTTCTCGATTGCAATAATTTCTTAGAAGGGAAAGAAAATCGATGCTTATCGCGTGCCTAAATTTACTCGAATGCTTAAATATCGGAGTCAAGAGATTAGAATTTTATTCGAATTTTAACACGTTAATATAACGTAAACTGATGTAAGTTAGCA